GCCGGGCTTGGTGGCACATGCCTATAATCCCAGCTACTTGGGAGGCTGAGGCAGGAGAATCACTTGAACCCAGGAGGCTGAGGTTGCCGTGAGCCGAGATCGCGCCATTGTACTCTGGCCTTTTCTTTTTTTTTCAGACAAGAGCAAAACTCCATCTGAAAAAGAGAATTTCAGCAATAACGTCCCCAGAAACTGGAAATGGCTGTAGCCCTCCAGATCCCTAGTCTTTCCGTTCACACATCTGGACCTCTTTTATTTTTTGAGACCGCGTCTCACTCTGTCGCCCAGGCTGGAGTACAGCGATGCAATCTTCACTCACTGCAACCTCTGCCTCCCGCTTTCAAGCAATTCTCCTGGCTCAGCCTCCCGAGAAGCTGGGATTACAGGTGCGCGCCACCACACCTGGCTAATTTTTGTATTTTTAGTAGAGTTGGGTTTTCACCATGTTGGCCAGGCTGGTCTCAAACTCCTGACCAAAGTGCTGGGATAACAGGCATGAGCCACCACGCCTGACCTGGGCCTTGCTTTCCACAGCTGTAAAGTGAGGACAAAGCCTGTGTCTACAGGGAACCTTGAAGATGAGATGCAGTCAGGTGTAGAGAGTGCTTGGCACAAGCTGCCTACATTCTGCCTGGCCTAGCAGGACCCCACGATGAGGCACAGACAACACAGAGGGCCCCCTCTCGCCCCCAGGCCAGGATGAAAGGATGAAGGACCCAGGCCAAGAAATCATCTGGTTTATTCTTGAGCACAGACAGGCCACAGCCTGCCTTTGCTTTGTACAAACAACTCCCTTCCTTATTCATCCAGAGGAGAAAATGGGGCCATTGTTGCTGCGATGAGGGGTCGCTGTTGCCAGGCAGGCAGGCAGGCAGGCGCCATCCTGAGGGCTGTGGGTGGCCTCCAGCCTTTCTGGGCTGAAACAGGCTGTGTCCCTCGGTGGTTCCTGGTATGACAGTTCCCTGAGTTAAGAGGCAGGGGAATGGCTGCCCACCAGGCCAGGGTGACAGGCTGGCACAGAAAGGCACAGGAGTTTTCTCCTTTCCCTGGTTTGATAAAAAGCAAAGCACCCTGAATGTCTCTGGGTAAGAAGGACAGCACAAAACAAGGAGTTCAAAAATAGATTCTCTAGGGCATATAAAAAGACAGTTGCTTGCTACAAAAGCTAGGCTAGGGCCAGGCACAGTGGCTCATGCCTATAATCCCAGCACTTTGGGAGGCTGAGGCAGGCAGATCAACTGAGCTCAGGAGTTCAAGACCAGCTTGGTCAACATGGTGAAACCCCGTCTCTACTAAAAAATACAAAATTTGCCAGGTGTGGTGGCGGGTGCCTGTAATCCCAGCTACTCTGGAGGCTGAGGCAGGAGAATCGTTTGAACCCGGGAGGCGGAGATTGCAGTGAGCCGAGATCACTCCACTGCACTCCAGCCTGGGTGACAGAGCGAGACTCTGTCTCTCAAAAAAAAAAAAAAAGGCTGGCTGGAAGGGGCCTCATCACCTCAGCAGATGTGCTAGGGGTCCCCTGACTCCCTTTAGGAGCCCACAGATCCATCCTGTTCCTCCTGGGGCTCCTGGGATGTATCAGGCACTGGTGACAAAGAGAGAACAAGACAAAAATTCCTGCCCTCATAGAGCTTACACTCTGATGGTAAGAAGTTGAGTAAAGAAAATAAAATGAAGCTGGTGTGGCACGGTGGCTCACACCTTTAATCCCAGCACTTTGGGAGGCCAAGGTGGGCAGATCGCGTGAAGCCAGGAGTTGGACACCAGCCTGGCGAACATGGTGAAACCCCATCTCTACTGAAAATACAAAAATTAGCTGGGTGTGGTGGTGGGGGTCTGTAATCCCAACTACTGGGGAGGCTGAGGCAGGAGAATCGCTTGAATTCAGGAGGTGGAGGTTGCAGTGAGCCAAGACCGCACCACTACACTCCAGCTAGGGCGACAGAGTGAGACTCTGTCTCAAAAAAAGAAAAAAAAAAAAAGACAGAAACACACCCTGGCTAAAGAGGGTGCCCTGGACTCCAGGCAAGCATGGCCAAGTCTTGCCAGAAATCCAGATCTTTGTGTATGCACTGCCAGATTTTTAGCCAGGATGACTGATTCAAAGTTTAAAAACAAACACATGAACAAGAACACCTCTGTCTGGGTTACACATCTGCATCTGGCCTGTGGGCCTGTTTGAAACCGTTGACTGTTTTGCCTGTTCTAATGCTTAAACAGGACTGTGGCTCTGCCATAGGGTCCGCCTTCAGGACACTGGTGACTCGGAGGGACACTGACAGCGGTGCCCTCTGTGTCTATACTGGAATCTGCATCCCAGCTCACACTGTGGTCCCAAACACTGCAGGCTGGAGGTGGTCGCTGTCTGCCTCTTCCCCAGTGCTGTTGGCAAGGGGTGGACCAGGCCCACCAGGGGGTGGGCGGCTGGGGTTACTGGCCGGGAGGGGCCCCAGGTGCTCAGCCTCAGCCAGGGCAGCCAGCAGCCCAGCCAGGGGTGGCCGGTGGCGACAGATGTCCTGCAGCAGCTCAGCCCGGTGCTGCAACTGCCTAATCAGCTCATCCCTCTGCTGCACAGCGGCCTGCAGGCTGTGGACAGTGGCCTCCGACGTCTTCAGCTGCTCCTGGAGTGTGGCAATCTCGCTGGCAGGAAGGCAAAAGGAGGTGATTACAGAACCGAGGACCTCAGGGCCGGCTCCTCCCTGCTTCGGAAACCCAAGAGGCTCCCCATCACCTTTGGGATAAAGCCCGCATTCCTTACCACTGCCTCAGGGCCCTTCCTGGTCATGAATGGAATGTTTGTTTTTGTTGTTGTTTTTACTTTTTTTTTTAGAGACGGAGTCTTGCCCGAGTAGTTGGGATTACAGACCCCCACCACCACACCCAGGCTGGAGTGCAATGGCGTGATCTCAGCTCACTGCTGCCTCCACCTCCCAGGTTCAAGTGATTCTCCGGCCTCAGCCTGCCGAGTAGTTGGGATTACAGGCAGGCGCCACCACACCTGGCTGATGTTTTGTATCCTTAGTAGAGATGGGGTTTCACCATGTTGACCGGGCTGGTCTCAAACTCCTGACCTCATAATCCACCCACCTCGGCCTCCAAAAGTGCTGGGATTACAGGCGTTAGCTACCGCCTATAATTATGATTACAGCGTATTATCTTTGAGAAGGAGTCTCGCTGTGTTGCCCAGGCCAGAGTGCAGCGGCATGATCTTGGCTCACTGCAGCTTCCACCTCCCAGGTTCAAGCAACTGTCCTGCTTCAGCCTCCTGAGTAGCTGGCTTTTCAGGCACATGCCACCACCACGCCCAGCTAATATTTGTGTTTTTAGTAGAAACGGGTTTTCCCCATGTTGGCCAGGCTGGTCTTGAACTCCTGACCTCAAGTGATCCACCTGCCTTTGCCTCCCAAAGTGCTGGGATTACAGGTGTGAGCCACTGTGCCCAACCTAAACAGTGTTTCTTTCTCTCTCAAATTCATATGACGAAGCCATAACCCCAGTGGGAGATGTATTAGTCCATTCTCATGATGTTCTAAGGACATACCTGAGACTGGGTAATTTATAAAGGAAAAAGATATAAGTGACTCACATTTCCACATAGCTTGGTTGGGGGGGACTCGGGAAACTTACAATCATGATGGAAGGCACCTCTTTACAGGGCAGCAGGAGAGACTGAGAGACCAGTGAAGGGGGGGCCCATTATTAAACCATCAGATCTCCCATTTTCACTTATTTGTTCATTTTTTCTTGAGATGGAATCTAGCTCTGTCATCCAGGCTGGAGTGCAGTGGTGTGATCTCGGCTCACTGCAACCTTCGCCTCCCACCTCAGCGCCCCAAGTAGCTGGGACTGCTGGTATATGCCACCGAGTCCAGCCAATTTCTTTGTTGTTGTTGTATTTTTAGTAGAGACAGGATTTCACCATGTTGGCCAGGCTGGTCTCAAACTCCTGACCTTAGGTGATCTGCCCACCTCAGCCTCCCAAAGTGCTGGGATTACAGGCAAGAGCCAGTGCACTGGGCCATCAGATCTTGCGAGAACTCACTGTCATAGCATGAAGGGGAAACCATCCCACCAGTCCCTCCCACCACACATGGGGATTACGGGATGACAATTCAAGATGAAATTTGGGTGGGGACACATAGCCTAATCGTACGAGGGTATTTGGAGACTGGAGCCTTTGGGAGGTGATTAGGGTTAGATGAGGTTGTCAGGGTGGGGTCTCTATAATGGAAGTAGTGCTTAGTGCGATTATATCAAGAAATACAAAAGGACTCCCTGGCTCTCTCTGCCCGCCAGACATCTGCAAGCCCGGAACAGGGCCTTTCCCTTAGCCTGACTGTGCTGGCACCTTGCTCTCAGACACCAGCTTCCAGAATGCTGAAAAATAAACCTCTGGTTTAAGCCACTTCATTTATGGCATTTGTTCATTTGAGACCGTCTCACTCTGTCGCCCAGGCAGGAGTACAGTGGCGCCATTTCGGCTCACTGCACCTCTGCCTCCTGGTTCAAGCGATTATCCTGCCTCAGTCTCCTGAGTAGCTGGGACTGCAAGTGTGTGCCTCCACACCCAGCTAATTTTTTAAAAAGATTTTGTAGAGATAGGGTTTTGCCATGTTGGCCAGGCTGCTTTCGAACTCCTGACCTCAGGTGATCTGCCTGCCTTGGCTTCCCAAAGTGCTGGAATTACAGGCGTGAGCCACCACACCCGGCCAGTTTATGCCATTTTCTTATGAGACCTCTTATTTCATCCCCTCACTCTTCCCGCAGTTCCTTCTTTTCCAGTATCCTTTCCCATCTGTTCTTAGCAGGCTCTTCCTCCAGGCAGCCTTCCCTCTGGGACCCCTCAGAGCCCCATATGCCCCTCCATCACAGCCATTGACCACCAATGATGTAACTGCTCAGTGATATGTCTTTCTCTCCACTGGACTGTGGACACCCAATGGGCAAGGCTGAGTAGGTCTTACCGATGTGGTCCAGTACCCAGTATACTGCCTGACGCACAGTAGGTGCTCAGTGAAGATGAATGAATATGTCCAATTTGCTCTGAATTAATAGTTCCCACCTGGGCCCCAGCTCCTCCCTCCTCCCTGGGTGTCTGTCTCATCTCTTTCATCCTCAGCTGCCAGAGGGACTCTTCGAAAATGCTGATACAGGCTGGCATGGTGGCTCATGCCTGTAATCCTAGCACTTTGGGAGGCTGAGGCTGGAGGATGACTTGAGCAGCCCAGGGTTGGAGGCCAGCCTAGGCAATACAGTCTAACCCCATCTCTAAAGGATTTTTTTTTTTTTTTAATCTGCCAGGTGTGGTGGTGCATGCCTGTAATACCAGCACTTTGGAAGGGTGAGGTGGGAGGACTGCTTGAGCACAGGAGTTTAGGACCAGCTTGGGCAACATGACAAAACTGTCTCTACAAAAAAATACAAAAAGCCAGGTGTGGTAGTGCACGCCTATAGTCCCAGCTACTCGGAAAACAGGTGGGAGAATCACCTGAGCTCTGGAGGTCGAGGCTGCAGTGAGCTGAGATCGTCCCACTACACTCCAGCCTGAAGGTCGGAGTGAGGCCTTGCCTCAAAAATAATAAATTTAGGCCGGGTGCAGTGGCTCACGCCTGTAATCCCAACACTTTAGGAGGCCGAGGCGGCCGGATCACCTGAGGTCAGGACCAGCCTGGCCAACATGGTGAAAACCCGCCTCTGGTAAAAATACAAAAAATTAGCCGGGCGAGGTGGCAGACGCCTGTAATCCCAGCTACTCAGGAGGCTGAGGCAGGAAAACTGCTTGGACCCGGAAGGAGGAGGTTGCAGTGAGCCGAGATTGCACCACTGCTCTCAAGCCTGGGCGACAAAAGCGAAACTCCCTCTCAAATAATAGTAATAAATTAAAAAGTTAAAATGCTAATGTGATTCCCTTCTCCCCTGCTGACGAGCCTGCTACAGCTCCCAGTGCCTATACAGGGTGGTCGGTGGTCACTGCGTCGCTCGGCACCTGTGGGAAGGTGGGCCCTGTTTGAAGTTAGAGGTCCACACCTGTGCCACGTCTCTCAACTTTACATACTGATTGCTAATTCGAGTTTTTTGGTTTGTTTATCAACCCCATAAGCAGTCCCGCTTCCACACGAGTGCACACTGTTCCCCTGCCCTTCCTCGCTTTCCAGCCTCGGTGAAGTCCACCTGGCCGACCCCGGACCTCACCGGTCTTTGGCGCTGCCCAGCTCGTCCAGGGCGGCGCGCAGGTGCTGGTCGTGGAGGGCAAGGTGCTCGGCCTGGGCGTGCATCGTGCGCTCCGCAGCGTCCAGCCGCGCCTCCAGCTCCGCCGCGCGCCGGTGCACGGCTGCCAGGTGCGCGTTGGCCTCCCGAATCTGCAGGGCGGGCGGCGCCGACATGGCCCAGGCAGCTGTGCAGGCCTGGGCACACCCCCGGGCGGCCCGGAACCCACACAGGCACCGCCTCCGGGAGGGCCCTGCCTCTCTGGACCTCGGCGCGATTGGTCGCTGACCCCGCTAGACTCCGCCCCACAGGGCTGGGTCGTGTTCTCCTCAAACCCAAACACTACCACTGGTTCCGGCATCAAGAAGCTCCGCCGCCGAGCTCGGGTTCACTCTAGGATTGGACCAGATCGTGACAGCCACGCCCCTAGATTGGCCACATTCTCCAGCGGTTCGCCCAACTCAGGCTCTGGAAACGTGATTGGTCACACCTTGATATTGTCCCCGCCCGACTTGAAAGCTAACACCAGGATTGGCCCGGACCCCTCGAAACAACAAGCCTGACCACGCCCCCGATCCCGCTGCCTGTCAGGGGCAGATCCAGGCACGGCTACGCCCTTTCATTCCTTATACAGTCTCGGACTGGTCAAATCCAATTCTAGTGACGCCCCCAAGCCAAGCGCCTGTGTATTTCATCCGGCCTAGGGCGTGGGACAGCCGCTGGTTGGACAGAGGCAACGTCCCGCTGAGCTTCTAATATTGTCATTGGTCACTTTCCCGCTAATCCCCGTCCCCTGTCCACGCCCCATAACAGTAGCACGCGGCTCCGACTCCAGCTTGGTGATTGACCACAGGGCATGACCACCCCCCATACTGATTCTGACAAGGGTGTGGGCACATACCCGCCATGCCCGCCTCACAATGACGTCTCGCTCCCGTCAAGTGGAGTCCCGCCCGTTCCAGCCTGAGCCTGGACCTTTCTCTATATTAGTTCCCCTCTCTGGTAGTCAAACCCTCCCTAACCTAGGATTCACTGAGCTGGGACTAGCGAAATCTGTCTGTACTGATCGCAGTCGTTCCCAGTTTCCCCCTCTGGGAATCGGCCTGGGGATGCACGTGCGGCTCTGTTCCACTAGGCCTGTTCCTGGCGCATGCGTGCCAACCTTGTCCATGTCCGCGGCTATCAATAAAGTTGCGCGCTTGTTGCCGGCCTTCGCGCCCGGGAGGTTGCGCGCGCAGCCCGGGAAGTCTCGCGATAGCCAGCGGTATCTGCCCTTGCACTTGCAAAGTCGACTGAGTCCCCCGGTGCGGGGTACGAGCTGCGGGCTATGGCGCCGAGGATTATGAGTCAGTTCTGGGACATCCCCGATGGCACCGATTGCCACCGCAAAGCCGTCAGCACCGCCGCTACTGGCACCGTCGCCGGTGGGTGCTGGTCGGGCCCCGAGAGTGGAGGGCCGGGAGCGCTGTGAGGTCTTGGGGTCACTGGGGGCTGTCTGAGTGGGTCGAACGGAGCTGGGAGTCTCGCGGGTACGCATGTGGTCGTTATCGAGGTGTCTTGGGCGGCCGTGGGGGGGTATCTTGTGTGAAATGGATGTTGGCAGGTGGTCCAGCAGGGTTGGCATTGGGGGTCGTGACATGTGACAAACTATTCCCTGGGGTTGTCTAAGGAGGTCCCAAGCGATCGCCAGACTCCGGGAAATTGTTGAGTGAGACAGCGCCGTTATCAGAGTCCAAGGAGCCAGGGGACCACGAGACTTTCCAACGGTTAACCAGATTATTAGAGGGGGTCATGAGTCATGATTTGGGCATCTGAGGGCGGTACAGAAGTTTGAGAACGTTTTGGGGTGGGATGAGTTCTTTCTGTGGTCAAGGGGTGCTGGGTGGTCAGGGACAGCTGAAGCTTTTACTAGGACCGCCAGAGAGGTCCTAGGTGAGGTGGATCAGGAGCTACTGAGGGTAGCCTTGCAGGGAATGACAGGGGCCCACAAGCCCTGGCATTCTCTTATAGGGGAGACCTCAGAGTCTCATCCCTTCCACCCTGAGCATTTCATGGGCATCATGCCTTTAATTCTATGTCTTTAATTCTTTAATGAGCCCCAGGTTGGGACTCATCAGGTCCCAGATGGCGCTGGAAGTCTCCACTGATTAAGAATGTTTTTTTTTGAGGGTGGAGAGAGGAGTTTTGCTCTTGTTGCCCAGGGTGGAGTGCAATGGCGGGATCTCAGCCCACCGAAACCTCTGCCTCCTGGGTTCAAGCGATTCTCCCGCCTCATCGTCTGGAGTAGCTGGGATTACTGGGATGCACCACTACCCTGACTAATTTTGTATTTTTAGTAGAGAGGGTTTGTCCATCTTGGTCAGGCTGGTCTCGAACTCCCGACTTCAGGTGATCTGCCTGCCTCGCCCTCCCAAAGTACTGGGAATTACAGGTGTGAGCCACAACACCTGGCCAAGAATCTTTACACACTGGGCCAGGAGCGGTGGCTCACACCCGTAATCCAGCACTCAGGAGGCCAAGGTGGGCGGATTGATTGAGGCCAGGAGTTCCAGACCAGCCTGGGCAAAATAGCAAGATCCCTATCTTTGCCAAAAAAGTAAAAGGGGCCGGGCGTAGTGGCTCACGCCTGTAATCCCAGCATTTTGGGAGGCCAAGGCGGGCAGATCACAAGGTGAGGAGTTCAAGACCAGCCTGGCCAATATAGTGAAACCCTGTCTCAACTAAAAATACAAATATTAGCCAGGTGTGGTGGGGCACGCCTGTAGTCCCAGCTTCTTGGGAGGCTGAGACAGAAGAATTGTTTGAACCCTAAAGGCAGAGGTTGCGGTAAGCTGAGACTGTGCCACTGCACTCCAGCCTAGGTGACAGAGCAAGACTCCATTTCAAAAAAAAGTAAAACAGCCTGGCATGGTGGTGCGTACCTGTAGTCCCAGCTATTTGGGAGGCTGAGACAGGAGGATCACTTGAGCCCAGGAGTCTGAGACTCTGATTTGCTATGATTGCACCGTTTTTGCACACCAGCCTGGGCGACAGAGCAAGATCCTGTCTCAAAAAAAAAAAAAAAAAAAAAAAAAAAATCATGGCTGGTGTGTGTGTAAGTTGAGGAATCATTTTGGTCACCTCTGTATTTCCAGCATATGTAAAACCGGACCTGGCCACAGTTGCGGCTCCATTGGGAGGTGAATTAGGGCATCACTCCCATATTTTGCATACTTATCCATAGTAAGACAGACCGTTCTTATATCTCCATTTCTTTTTTTTTTTTTTTTTTTGAGCGGAGTTTCGCTCTTGTTACCCAGGCTGGAGTGCAATGGCGCGATCTCGGCTCACCGCCACCTCCGTCTCCTGGGTTCAGGCAATTCTCCTGCCTCAGCCTCCTGAGTAGCTGGGATTACAGGCACGCGCCACCACGCCCAGCTGAATTTTTGTATTTGTAGTAGAGACGGGGTTTCACCATGTTGACCAGGATGGTCTCGATCACTTGACCTCGTGATCCACCCGCCTCGGCCTCCCACAGTGCTGGGATTACAGGCGTGAGCCACCGCGCCCGGCCTGTATATCCATTTCTTAGAGGTAGGGACTGAAGTTTGGAGAAGCATATTAACTGCCGCAGGGTCCTTCAAAGCTGGGCTGTGAATCCAGTGGCTGACCCCCTCCTAGGGGTCTCTGAAGCAAGGACTGTTCCCATCAGATCCTTATCGAGGGTCTTCAGGAGAAAGGGCTCAAGGGGCCACCCAGGGGATAGGATCTGACACTCAGAAAGATGCGTATGTTGGTGTTGATGTGAGAGAGAGTGTGTGTGTTCCTCGTGCATGAATACGAAATGGGTGGGCTGCGGTCCCAGGAGGCCATTGGAGGAGACAGCTTGTCCCGCAGTGTGGTGCTGCTGAGTGAAGAGCCTCTGGGGCCAGGGGAGGCTCCCTAGAGGGTCTTAGAGGGGGAAGTGGGAACTTTGTTTGTTTGTTTTGAGACAGAATCTTGCTCTGTCATCCAGGCTTGAGTGCAGTGGCACGATCTTGGCTCACTGCGACCTCCATGTCCTGGGTTCCAGGGATTCCCCTGCCTCAGCCTCCCGAGTAGCTGGGGCTATAGGCACCCGCCATCACGCCCCCGTTAATTTTTGTGTTTTTTAGTAGAGTCGGAGTTTCACCATATTGGCCAGGCTCGTTTGGAACTCCTGACTTTGTGATCTGCCCGCCTCAGCCTCCCAAAGTGTTGGATTACAGGCGTGAGCCCCCGCACCCTGTGTTTTATTTTTTTAAGCCGGAGTTTTGCTCTGTCACCCAGGCTGGGGCGCGATGGTGCGATCTCGGCTCACTGCATCCTCCGCCTCCCAGGTTGAAGCAGTTCTCCTGCCCAGCCTTCCAAATAGCTGGGATTACAGACACACGGTGCCACGCCCAGCTAATTTTTGTATTTTTAGTAGACACGGGGTTTTACCATGTTGGTCAGGCTGGTCTCGAACTCCTGACCTTGTGATCCACCTGCCTCGGCCTCCCAAAGTGCTGGGATTACAGGCGTGAGCCACTGTGCCTGGCCAGAAGTGGGAACTTTTGACAGAGGTGCCATGTCAGGGGATCTCTGATGGTGTCGGATTTAGATTTAGGGGTGGTCAGTGGCTTCTGTGAACCCTCCAGAGTGCCCAGGGGTCTTCAAGGGTAACATTTATTCTCCCTAGTTTTTTGGTGGGGGGATACAGGGTCTCATTCTATCACACGTGCTGGAGTGCAGTGGTGCGATCTTGGCTCATTCCAAGCTCCACTTCACATTTTCAAGCAATTCTCGTGCCTCAGCCTCCCAAGTAGCTGGGATTACAGGTACCCG